GTCATGACCAATTTGGGTCGCAACCAGAGTCGCAGAACGAATTCAGTTGGTGACCCGAGGTACGAGTTATTAAATGGGTCCGTGAATCCTTATAGAAAATACAGTATAGCAGGACATGTACTGTGGTTTCAATAGCCCCTTGTCCACAGGGGCACAATCTCAGCTCGTACGGGACTTTTTTGTATCGGCCCTCCAAAATTGCTGTAGGAAGAGCATTACAGCAGTTTTAGAGTTAATGCCCTCTGAAGTTTGGGGATGGTTATGCAATTTAGGTATCTCGCTGGCTTATAAGAAAAGACTTGACTGCTCAAAAAAACATTCTTAGGAAGAGCAGACTGGTCCTGCTGGACTTCCAGGTCTGCTCTGGAAGTTTCAACAGCTCTGCTATGCTGTTTGAATTCACTGAGTGCACGCTCATAACCCATCATTAGGAACGCCTCCCTAGAAAAGCCAAGACGTTGGAGTTTTTGTAGAATAGTCCTGGCCCATACTGATTGATAATTGTCCTTAATAAGGAAAGAACCCAAACCTGCAGGAAAAAATAGTAGTTTCAGCCAATGTGCCACAATACAGATCCATGCACCTGTTTCAACTTTGGGCAGCCCTCCCTCCTTCCTTAATACTACATTTGGAGTGCAGGGGGGTACCTGAAATATGGCCCTTAGGAATTTGGATTGAATCCTTTCCAGAGGAGTAAAGGAAGAATAAGGTCCTAGCTGGGCACCAAAGAGTAATTGTGTATGAGCCTTAGCTGAGTATAACTTCAATGCTGCTGGGATATGAAGAATAAGGTCCTAGCTGGGCACCAAAGAGTAATTGTGTATGAGCCTTAGCTGAGTATAACTTCAATGCTGCTGGGATATGCTGTGCTCCTCTGGTAAAGTGAAAGGATTGGATTGCAACCACTGTTTTTTCAGTGTTCTGTATAACATAATTTTGGTGTGCACTGCGTTTAGTGGAGCTATGAAAAACCATGCCCAAGTATTTAAAATATTTGACTCGTTCAATATTCTGACCATACTTGGTCAATATTCTGACCAGGTATGCAATTTAGGTCTCTTAGCAAAAGTCAAAATCTTAGTCTTGCTATAGTTAATTTCGAATGCTTCCTCTGAGCAATATCTGGACAGAGCACTCATGGCTCGTCTAAGTCCAATTTGTGTTTGTGATAGGAGTACTATATCATCTGCATACAGCAAAGTTGCAATATGCCTGTTTGCCAATTTTGGGGGTGATGTTCTAATTGGTTTATTTTGGCCACCAATGGATTTATATACAAGTTAAACAGCAGGGGAACTAAAATACAGCCCTGCCTCACTCCTCTGTAAGTTGGAATTTCATTTGTGTGATGGCCTTGCATACTGCATCGAACTTTGATTCTAGAGTTCTTATAGAAATTATGCATGAGCAACTGTAACCGTCTATCAATGGTGGTATAGAGGAGCTTAACTATAACTGGAAATGGTGGCTTAGTGCAAAGTGTAAAACCATAGAATCAGGGATAAGCATCACTGACTTCAATAGAGCTTGCAGGTAGTCCTCACTTAACAACCCTAATTGGGACTAGAAACTTGCCGCTAAGAGAAATGATTCCTCAGTAGGAAAATCGCGTGACCATGACTGTGCTTTCTGACTGAAAAGAGTCAAGACTGGTCAGTTGCACACCTTTGGCTTTTGTTTGTCTTCTAACCACTCCCCCACCCTTTGGAATGCTCAAGTTCCTGCTTACTGTCTTGTACACATCAAAAGCAATGTAATCGTGCCCCAGCCCAGGGCTGGGAGCCGTGGGCGCGCTATGCAAACAGCTTAGTCTCTTGAAATCCCATTCTCTCCAATCTCTCTGCTCTGCAGGGGGAGGGGAAGGGTCAGGCAAAGGAGAGATTGCCTACAGAAATCGCTTGCTTTTTTTCTCCCCCCCCCCCCCCCCCCACCTCACAGAGTGGAGAGACTGGAGAGGAAGAGAATTCAAGAGAATACTATAAGCTGTTTGCATCATGCACCTGTGGCTACCAGCCTCAGGCTGCTGGTGTGATTGCATTGCTTTCAATGTGTAGAAGAGCAAACAGCTCTCCAATCTCTGCTCTGCCAGGGGGGAAAAAAAAACAGGTCAGGCACAGGACAACACATACCAATGGTGATCATGTGACTGAGGGATGCTGTGAAGGTCATAAATGGTCGTAAATGGGCCGTAAAGTTATTTTTTCAGCACTGTTGTAACTTCAAATGGTCATTGAATGAATGGTCAGTAAGCGAGGACTACCTGCACTCTGAAATACCTATACATAAAATTTGATCCCACACATTGCCCATCTTCCAGTTTAGTTTCTTCTGCTTATCTATTTTCCACATGTTTTAAGAAAGCAGAATTTTGTTTTTAGAACTGTGTTTTAATTTGTATACAACTCCAAATATCTTTGAAAGCTGGTGTTAACCTCTTTTTATAAGAATAGGATTGCTGTCATGTACTGTAGATTCAGTTTTGAGAAGCTAATAGCACTGGATCATTTGTTTTGAATACCTTAGCCCTGTGTTTCTCAACCGCAACTTTAAGATGAGTGGGCTTCAACTCCCAGAATTCCCTGACCAGCATGAGTGGGAATTGAGGTCCACATATCTTAAAGTTGCTGAGGTTGAGAAACACTCACTTAACTTAAGGCTTACTCTTCAGCCAGGCCTTCAGAACTGAACCAATGATTTTAATTACTGTTTCTGTCTCTTTAATAGGGTTTGTTTCATACAATTTTGCAATTTTTTTTCCTGTTTTGCTGCCCTGAATACTCCATGTATGGAAAAATAAATCAAGCTGTCTTTTATTAATGGAGTTTTTAACGAGCCTGTTAGCTCCTTTGACTGTAATTAACAAAAGCAGAACATATACCTATAAGCATCTACAGTGGGGGGGAAGTGACATCACAGGCATCATGATATCATCACTACAAATCTCATAATTCTCACCATTTGTGCACTGCCATCACGACAACAAAATATGTATGTATGTATCACGGACACTTGAAGTGTTTACTGCCTCAGGAAGGCACTCAAGGACCCAGCCTACTTTGGCAAGCCCTATGTGCTATGGCAATAATGTGCCAGACATTCATGAGATGATTTGTGTCTTTAGATCCTTCAGTTCAAAGCACTGAGGTAAGGCTGATATGCATTAACTAGCCACCATGGAGCCAGTTTGGTGCAGTGGTTCAGGTCCTGGCTTAAAAACTAGGAGACTATGAGTTCTTGGTCTGCCTTAGGCATGGAACCAACTGGGTGACTTGGGGCCAGTCAATCTCTCTCAGTCCAACCCACCTCACAACAGGGTTGTTGTGGGGAAAAGATGAGGTGCAGGAGTATTAGATACGTTCCCTGCCTTGAGTTGACCATATATAAAGGTGGGATAAAACTGTCTTCATCGTCATCATCATCATCATCATCATCATCATCATCATCATCCTTTAAGCAAAGTGATGTAAAGCAGCTCCAATCAGACCTTTGTGGAAGTGAGGGCTCCTTTTGGCACCCAGCACATTCCTCATATTTATGTAGTAGGGCAAACCATTTGGACCTGGTGCTTGGCACAGCCCATTTGGGAGAATGAAGCGCCTCTCTTTGAAACATTAACACAACCTGATCTGTGTGAGGCTCTCTTGGATGCTTCAGGATGGGTTCCTGGCTGGTACGGGGGTACGCTATCACTTTACTTTGCTGGGGGTACCTGTGTTGTTAGTACATGCACATGCGGGCAGATGGGGACAAATTTCAAAGCAGCAGCTGCCAGTGAAAAACAGAATAAAAAAGGACACTGTGAAACTGAAAGTTTAATGTAGACATATATTCAGCAAGCCCAACGGTTATCAAGTTTGTCATTCTCCAAACTGCAGGAGAAGAACTTTCTGTAACAGTTCAAAGGACATCATCATGAGCTCTTATGTGAAAAATGTTCTTGTTAATCTGATTGTTTTCTTGTTAGATTTAGGTTCCTGTTGAGCCACACCTCACCTCTGAGTCCCAATCTCTTAGTTGGACTGAGATGGCATATTTCTTCTAAAAGAGCGTAATGTTCATCTTCCTGAAATATGATTCCAAAAACTTGGCTCAGGGAAAGAGATCGTGTTTTCTGTTTCAGTCAGATTATCGAATCACCATATTAAGCACTAAATTTATAAAATCTGGGCATTTATTTCTTTACTGATTAAAGAATCTTAATTGTAGGCATCACATTTTGTGTGTGTGTGTGTGTGATGCTTTTGGATGAAATAGGCATTTGGCAGTTGTTTCACCGTGTGATCCCATCCTTGAAAGCAAGTTATGTCTATGAATCCTGAAAGCATTTGACCAAAGTAGCTGAATTTTGCAACATTCTGAAGCTGGGCTGTGATTGGAGAATAGCGGTTTTTTAAAAAAAAAAAACCATATCAAATGAAATATGTTGAGGCTGTCCCTTTATTGGCACAAGGGGGGAAATCTCTCCCAATTGCATGAAGTCGCGGGCACCGTTCTATGTGACAAAGGCGCTGTTGAAATGAGAGGCTCGCACAAGTCCAAGTCTTTGCATAACAGCAGCTGTGTGCGCTTGGGGTAGAGGGGAGAGAAGAGGTAAAATTAGGGAACAACACAGATCCATCGAATCCCCTGCAGAATCCGGGAGGATCCGGCTTTTCCCTTTTTCCCGGGAAGGGGGGGGGAGTTGAGAGGCAGTTTGACTGACAGGCAGAAATCTGATCCTGTAAAAGACGCGGTTAGCCAATGGGATGCAGAGATCCATCGGTTTAGACTAGAGGCCCCTGGAGGAGAAGTAGAGGAAAAACCACTGAATAGAGTGTCCTGTCAGTGGCGCTTTTCGCTTGAAAGGGGAAGTGCTGGGAGAAATAATTAATGGTCTTATTAAATTTGTAGGGACTTTTTGTTTTGGTGCGTGCGTGCGCGCGCGCGCGCATCCGATCGTCTTTGCTGTACCTTCAGGTGGGTTTTTGCAGCAACTTTGTTGTCTGTTGCTCCGGCGATTACGTGGTTGCGGTTTGCAAGGAGAAGGTAGCGCTGCCTTCTGTCTTTCTCGCTCTCGCGCTCTCTCTTTTTCTCTCCGCTCTCCCGTTAGGTGCGACGCGAGTCGTGTCGTGTCGTGCGCCATTACTAGTTCTGCACACGTTTACGAATGGGGACGCTCCAGGGACCAAAACGGGCATGCCAGCTTGGCTCTCGATTTGCTTTCTTGCTTTCTTTCTTTTTTTTTTTTAAGTCCTTTCCACCCTCTTGCTTTCCTCTCCGGCTCTTGCTTGTAACCCAGAGGAAGGCAGCAGAGGAGGGAAGTGTGTGTTTTTATGAATGGCACTCTTGGAGGATCATTAGATATGCAAATTTAGCCACTTCATTCATGACTTAAAAAAAATCTAAAAGCCATCTTGTGTTCTCGGTTTTTTTTTTAAGGGTCTTTGGAGGCTGCATCTGGAGGAACTCTCTTTTAAATCCAATGTCCAGAAAATAATAATAATAAAAATACTCCGCTAAAGTCATCAGAATGGATGGATTTTATGACCAGCAAGTGCCTTACATGGTCACCAATGTGAGTGATCAGCTCCAAAGTTGTTGTTTAAACTTGGGTCTCTCGGGTGGGGGATGCGAAGTGAAGTAAAGGGGGCGAGGGCAGAAGCTTTTATGGGGAAAATTATTTGCTGTTTTTTTCTGCTTGTTTTATTTTTGGACGGAGGTGAAGGCAGGAAAACTTGTACTTTGTAGTGAGATGAATGTTTATTTCAGTAAATTTCCATTTTTCTTCCAAGGACCATTTTGGTCTGAGGTAAAACAAAAGTACTCTTCCCCCTCCTTGTTATAAGAAGAGAGAAATCATAACTGCTGCAGTTTTAGAAGTTTTTAGTCTTGTCATCTTATACAGAGATAAGTCCCCTAAAAAGAAAAAGAAAAAACCTTTCCTCTTTTAAAGGACTTTAGCAAATAAAGAGTTAAAAATTAAAGTATATACCAGCATCAGTCAAAGCATGGGCTTTTCAAGAAATACTCTTGTGTAGGTGTTAGAACTTCAGGTTGCCAAAAATAAACCTTACACCTACAGTCCTTCCCTGGAAAATATAGGTGTCTGTATGGACGTGTGTTTTGGGTAGGTGGATTGAACCATAAATATTCCTCTGCATAATTTTAATAGTCCTACCTTGAAATTAGCGATGGGATCACTAGGAAAGCTTTAAGCTTTCTCCATAGCCTTAACATTTAAAACCTATTGCTAATATTGCGTGATTATCTAACTTCTTTCCCCTTTTCCCTCTAAAATAACCATTCTATTCTATTTGTAGAATCTCTGTGGGAGAAATTGTAATGAGCGACCAGCAAATGTCAGGAAAAGAAAATTCATTAACAGAGATCTGGCTCATGACTCAGAAGGTGAGGATATGCATTATGCAAGTTGGGGGAGGGGGAGAGAATAAATGTTATTGGCTCCCCCTCTTATATCTACATACCCTGTAATGCGCTTTTTAAATTTTGATGCCTGCGCATTTCTCCCCTTTTCTTTCATTCTCCTCCCTCATGCACCTTCCTGGAGTCTTGTCTACATCTATTTATAGAAATGAGACAAGAAAACCACATTTCATGATGTGACACAAGCTGACAAAAGCAATTCACTGCTAGGCTGCAGTACCTTCAGTGACTCACCCTCCGTGCTAGGTATTGCCACGCTGTAGGGACGTAAGTAATGTCATACACCCGTGAGGTGCGAATTTGGCAAGGTTTGATATGCTAGGTAGTAAAAGGGTGCACACAGTTAGCTTGCTTGTAGGCCTCCCATCCCACTAACATTTCCTTTGGGAGTGCCTACGGTCATGTTTCAGAGAGGTGCTGAACTTTTGCTTTAACTACTAGAGTCAGGTTAGGACAAGATGCAGAGATCTACCTGTTTACTTTTTCCATACCTACCCTTTGGCTTGTAACTCTTATAGTAACCAACTATGAACAACTCAGAAGGAAATGGCCAGTTATACTTTTTAGCGCATTACCCTGCAAACCTAACACTCAGTGAGCTTGTGGAAAGCCCACTGGAGGGAAACAGCTGTTTCTGCAACAGGTCTGCCTTGATGGCTTGTTCCCTGCAATGGTTGCCCTTGGTTTACTTGGGTGCAGAGTAGTCCTCACCTGGTTTTTCTCAAACTCTGAGCAAAGCACCAATGTCCTTTATGAATTGAAATAGGTTCAAACTAGAGAAATTCACTCTGTATACCTGCATAGGCTACCCTATTCAAACTTGGATTGGTAGCTGAGAGGCTTCCCAGATGCCCGTAGGATGCAATAATTTTGAAAGCCCATCAATCCTTTAAAAATGCAGCACAAAAACATTCTTCTGCTAATAACAATTACTTAAAACAATAGCAACTAATAGAAACTAAGAGCTTCATGAATTGACTGCTTTTGTCCCAGAGAGAACTGATTTCAAACTAAAATGACTGAATTACAAATATTAAGTTTCCATTCTGGTTATGTTTGATGTCTATTAAGTAAAACACATTAACTAGCAAATACCCCCTCCCCAATGTAATCCAAGTAAAAAAACCTTACTTTGCAATGGCAATTTGGATTTTATTTTCAACACTTTGTAATATTTTATATCAAACATGTGAACAAAACAGCATTTCATTGTTGTTTGCTCTTTTAAACATGGTTAGGTCATAACCTGATGCATAGTTATTTTGGTGTCCCCCTGCAATTTATGGAATTGTCTTCTGAGTGGGTATGCATAAAGAAGTTCTGGGAATTTCTCTTTAAGTGGTCCTGGCCATTCAGAAATTAGGTCAGTTGATTTCTGTGGGGTTTACTCTTAGGGTGCCTAGCAAAATCTGTGTTGATATGTGTAAATTAGCTGAGAAGATGATTATTGCTGGAGCTGATTATGATGAATACTCCATCACATATATTTTATGCATAATCCAGATAATATTTGTGTCTATGCAAAATTAGGCAAAATAGAATGAATAAGCATTATAAAGACCTCTGCTTAATTCAGTATTATTTGAACATTACAGAGCTGCTGACCCTTTATTTGTCTCTCGTTCTTTTCCTAGAACTGTTTCAAGATCTAAGCCAATTACAGGAAACATGGCTTGCAGAAGGTAAGGAGGGGATTTTTTTTTTTTCAAAATAAAGAAAAGGGGGAAAAAACACTCTGGAAGAAAAAGGGAGGGGGTAAGGGAGGGGGAAAAAGTCCTGAACTTGCTGTCTTAATGTTCAGCCCAATTAATTGAGCTCTAAAAGAGCCACCTCATGTGTCATGCATACATTAGAGCCTCTGATGAGTTTGTCTTTGGGGACTCTGGGGCTGCTCTATCCAATGTCATCACAAATTACCAGGAGAAATTGCTTCCAGCCCACAATCACATCTGCTTTTGGCAAGAACTAATGCACCAAGACTTCACGTTCCAAGCCTCTGTTCAGATTTTAATTGCAATTGATCAGGTTTATATTATTGTACCTCAAGAGACTGCCTACAGCCAGAACTGGGCTCGCTCTTTCCTTCAGAGCAGAGCATACAATTGTTTGGTGTTCTGGAGGAAGTACTTTTCTGATGGCAGAATATAGTTTCTCTGAGTTCATCAGGACGGGATGCTTCAAGATTTAAGTGCAAGCGTCTTCTTTCCAGCTTGCTCGCAACACCGAACATTAGGTGTGTATTGACTGTTTAAGAAGCAATGGACTTTTATTATTATTTCAATTTTATAGATATATATTTTGCAAGGCATTTAAAAGGAGAAACTTTATTATTTTTTTCCCTCCCTTTCTTTCTCTCCTTCCTCCCCCCCCCATGTTTCCTTAACTCTGAAGTAGTTATTTTAACATTGTTGACAGATTATAAGGAAATAGTTTTAATGCTGGAGTTAAATTATTGTGGATTTTGACATGAGTAGTATGACATGCCAAGAGAAGTTTTGCAAAAGCATATGAGCTTGATCCTAAGCTGAGGTATATTTTCTAACTTAAAAGTTGATGCTTCTGTCATGTTTGGGCTATTTCCAGCATGAAGATGACTCAGTGCAGATTCTTTTTTTTTTAAACATATAATTGAGAAAGAGAAGTTTAATTAAACCTCATTCAGAACTAAGTGATATGCTCTCTCTCTGTCCTGTATGTGTGTTCTTGCTTGCTTATGCATTTTTAGTATTCATTGGAGTTTTTATTTTTTTTTAAACTCTTAACTGAATGTGCATTGTTTGTTGAATGAACATTCTGTTTCTTTTGGAAAGAAAAGACTTAAGGGACAGTTTGATGTGATGGCTTAACAGAGAAAAGAGGAAATGCTGTAATGGTATATACGGACTGACTAGCTTTTTGATACCACCCCATATAATTTGCCAAATAATATGTAGTCCCCATGAATTTTCTAATCTTTTTTTTTTTTAGCCATGTTTTTATGTCCAGTATCTAGCAAGGAAAGATTAGGAATCATGATATAAGAGGTGGTAAACTTTAAATATCGAAGTTGCTAGTTAAAATTCAACAATAGCTGTGTAAGGTAACTTTAGTAAAGATCTATACATATGCTTAACTTTCAGTTCCTCCTGATAACCAGGATGACCACGAAAGCCCTAAGCATTTGATGTTGCTAATTTAGTTCAGTGAGTTTCAGTTTTAATGCATGTTTTCACTGGGTAAATTTTGATTGGATACATAGCTTTTATATCAGTTGCTAGTCATGTATGTGTGTGTGCATGCACACAGACACAGACACACAGACACAGGCAAATCAAGAATTTAGGCTGTAGACCTGTACTCAGTTAGGAAAGTCCCACTGAAAGCAGTGGGATAGTCTTCTGAGTAAGCCTGCAGGAATGCTTTGTACTATTTCCAATTAAAAAGATGAAAAATTAAATTCCAACCTTAGAGAATTATGCTGTTTAAACTAAAATATTCTACCAAGATATCTAAGTAATGTGTCCAGTGGACAGCAGTGCATTTTAGGACTTGGTTGAATCAAATCCTAAACATGTAAGTGATTGAATTCATGTGGAATGTAATAGAGATGACAATAGTTGAGAGGAAAGTTTTTACAACCAAAGATCACAAATCACAGTCACAACTTCCTAATTCTTTTTTGCACTTTCAAAGAAGGAAAAAATAAAATAAAATAAAATGCTCTGTGGGCAGTAAGTATCCACAAAAGATTAATTACAAAATTGGTCTTGAAGTCAGTCTTGTTTTCTTATCCCTTGATTAAATTTTGTCCACTTATGTTCACATGGTTGCCTATAAAGTTACAGCTCTGTCAGTTAGCTTTCATAATGCTTTGCAGCTAGGAATATGACTTTGACATTCTGAATTCCGCCACTCTTCTTCTTTTAAATGTAGTGCAGTAGCATCTGACTAGATCACTATGGATTCTTACTCTTTAGTTACCAGAAGAGTCCTGTCCTCCCCCTCTCCCCCGTTTTAGGGAAATAAGTTTGTGGATATGAAAGAATGAGAGCGTGGAAAAGAGAAAAAAAAATCTCCTTGATAGTTGAGATATTTCAGCTGCATATTTATCAGTATCTCTATTCTTCTGGGGAGAATGTTGCTTAAAATGAGTAATCATAAACAGTCTATTCTCTTTTCAGTGTATGCACAAAAGTGGCATTGGAAACAATGGCATTTACATATGTATTGGAGGTGGAAAAATAATTCACTGGCGAATAGAATCAGACCATTTTATTTGGTTGCTGCTATGTGATGTGTGCCAAAACTGGGATGTCACATTCAAAAATGGGTTGCATCCAGTGGCACCAGAACTTGACTTTCTCTCTTGTTCTCTGTGTAAGGAATAGAATTAAACACTTGCTTTTCCTTCAGTGGAAACCTGCTGCTGCTGTGTTGAGGCTTAAAATAAAATAAACCATTGGGATCTGAGTATTTTTAAAAAATCGAAAGGCTGTTAATCATTTCCTAATTTAGTAAAGTATTACTGTCATCTGCTAACAATCCAGGGTTATTCAGGTGCCAATGCTTCTTTTGTGCATACATATAAAAGTTTTTTCAAAATCAGTGGAACTTACTTTCAGCTAAACCTGTTGTTAATTCCCGTGCATGCAATGCTATGGTAATACCATTTGGTCCCAACAGATGATGGAACTCCCCTATTGAATCTGTAGATATTGCATTAAATTGCTCTTGACAAATAGAAGTTAACAACTGACTTCAAATAATCAGCTCAAATATGAACTTAATGTATTTTTCATTATCGGAAGCTCCCGCTGTTTATTCTGTAACAAAAAGGGAAAAGAAAGGACTGGTGGTGCTGAAAGCCTGCTGTGTTATGATGGAAACAGTTTGCGGTTTGAAAGAAAAATAAGCTGAAAAGGAAGCATGTTTTAAATTTGTATTCAAAACATTAAAAATGATGGATAAACAAGTGTAATGTAGATGTTATAGAAAGTAAAACTCTTCTTTCTGTAATATTAGTATTGATTTAACAAAATGTCATCTGGAAAGAATAATCTGTTATTAATCAAAGGACAGGCAAAATAAATTTTTTTCGTTCCTTTCTCCTTTGGGTGGTACAGGAGATTCAGATAAGGAACTGATTTCTTGAAAATATACTGGTGCCAGTGAAAGTAATGGCCAGGTTTGGTGAATGAACTTTGGGAAAGATTTCCTGTTCTTGGCACTGTTTACATGTTGTGACTATTCTGGCTTTATTTTTTATTTTTTTGCCCGTTTGAATGAAATGTAATTGCCCCCTTTTTATTTTGATCGAGAGAGAAAATGATATTGAAATGCCATAAATCAGAATGTTTTTGTCAGTTCCCCCATCTTTATTCTAATAGTCAAGAGAACCTTTCATGTTTTCTACAGTGTTTCAATGTGCCCTTAAAGTATAAATTTTGCAGTACAAAGAATTAATGAGACAGTGGAACAAAGTTTGTGCAATAAAAATCTCAAAGGTATTTGTCGGGTGCGGGGGGGGAGAAGTTACAGGGTTAGACCTAACACATCTCAACTTGAAGGTGTTTGTAAGATGAAACCTCTTAAAGGAGTGTGGATGAGAGATCTACATATGTCACAAAGACATCAAAGATGTAGAGCTAGGCTTTTGGAAGACACATTCATGACACTTTTAAATGCACTTAGATCCTGACAACATTTTTTGTTGGAAAATGGAAAACAGTGTAACAACTTTGTATAATTGAAAAAGTAATAATCTGTGTCATAGTCTTGGATGTCTACTTTCTGGGGCTGCAATGTTAAGATCAGACTATACTGACAAAACTGTTTTGGATTTGAGATTTTAGTCACTTTTGCATCTTGAAGCTCTTAAAAGGTATTTGGACAGAAGGTGTAGAATTTTGGGAATAGTGTGTTTTTTAATACTTTAAGAGTGTCTTTTTAAACTTTCATATCCTTATTTAGAAAATTGATTGGAAGAAGTGCTGTTTCTTAATTAAGTTATATTTTAGCTGCTGAATAATTTCTTGTGTATAGAACAGTCAGCATCATACTTGTTCCTAATTTGTTTAGCTTTTTTTTTTCTTTTTCTTTTCGAAGGAGAACTCCTTGATGATCCAAAATCTTTGGTATCTTGGCTTATGGATTGCCAGAATATCGACTGGAAATGTTGCATCGCTCTGTATAGAATTGTTTTAAAAAAAAAGAATCAAAATAGTGCTTTCTCTACTTTGCCTTATTTTTCTCTTTCTCACTCTGTGTTTCCTGTGCATCTCCTGTGGAGTCTGTAACTTTTGTCCATTCTGAGGCCATCTTGTACTTTTTATTTTTTTTATTTTTGACATCTCGTTTATTGCATTTGTTTCCGATAGGGCCTGTGCAGTGTCCTGAAACAAAGCAATGAAATTGATGTGTTTATATAAAAAGTTCAAGTTCACTCTTCTCTCTCTCTCTCTCTTTCTTTCATTCTCTCTCTCTTTCTATTGGGGTGTGACAAGAAAAGACTGTGGTTGAGGCCTCGTGTTTCTTGCTGGATTCTGTTTTTGTGAATGGAGGCAGAGCTCCAGTTCTGACTGCTTCTCTGGAAGAATTGTTTAAGAGATCAGCTGTCTCATTCACTGGCAGAGAGAATGACTCATACATCTTCTGCCTTGTTTGGCTGCAGGTCATTGTTACAGTGGAGAGAGCTGGTTTTAATTAAATATCAACTCAACTTCTTTGGTATAGGCTGGTGTCCGCTTTTCTGTCTTCTTTTGCTCTCCCACCCACCGCATACTTTTGGTGGGAAGAGGGTTGTTATGCTCGAGAAGAAACTAAATTGGTCCTCAGTTTAGGGTTCTTGTTCCATACTGCTGTTGGTTGGCTTACTTCACAAGATCTTAAAGAAATATATTGCCTTTTCTTCTTAATATTAAAAATGGGGCGGAAGCATTTTGGTACGTAGTGAAAAAGTCAATATCTTATTAGAGTGTGACCTAATAGCTCTGAGTAAATTCTAACATACATTTGTAATTTAAAAATAAACAAGTGATATTGGGAACCAAGAACTCCTTGTAGAGTTTTTAACTAACACTTCATTACCTTTACTTTTGCCTACGGAAGATTTGAGAAGTTGAAAAGGGAAGAAGGAAGCAGAAGCAAGGAACAGAAATTACTCACTCCAGAATCATAAATTAATGGCACCTTGTATATTAATGCAGAATAAACCTGATAAAGCTGTTCTCATTATTATCTGGTCCCCTGTTCTTACCCCTTGAAATGCTTCTCATATTTACTTTTCTTCCTAGTCTTCTTAATTAAGTGGTCTATAGGAATGCTACTACAGAGGGGATCTTTTTAAATATTTAAATGTTCTGTCCTCCAAAGAATCTAATTCTGCAGTTATTTATATTGATATATCATCCCTCCTCCTGTCACCATATTAAAAACTACTGTTGCCTTTATGAAAGCCTCACTGAATTGCAGCAGTGACAATGACAAGAAAAAGAAAGTTGTTTATTTTTGTTTTGGCCATTCAAGGTGTAGTTATACTTAACTGACTACATGCTGGTCTGACATTAGTGTGGGTACCTAAATTTCTTTGCAGGATGGCATTGTGAAGGAATGTCTGACAGGTTTTCCATTAATCATCTACTGCTCTTGTTTTTATTTGAAGGATAGAGAAATTGTGATGGGTTGATAATATATATCTGAAGCTTATTGGGTTTTATACCTTGAGTGTTTAGTAGTTAAGTTTCATCTATAGTCCACCAGTCCTTCCTTGTTTCTAATGCTAAGGACATGTTATTTGTACTTAATTGTAGCTACTGTAGTTATTCAGCAGAGAAGGCAGAGAAGTCGTGCCCATCTGCATTTTTATTTACTTCAGAAGAAAACATTAATTGGGTAGATTTAAGATTCTTTGAAAAAGATTTCATAAATTGCTATATACAAGACTTCAACAGGTAGTCTTACATTTAAAATGTGCTATAAGTTTGTTTTCATTTTATAAAAGGGCACATACTAGTTTTTTTCTTTACTGGGAAATTTCTGTGAAAACCAGCTACAGCTGTCACTGTTATGGAGCTTCGCAAACACATACAGCTGTTAAACAGGTGGTGTGTTAATGTAGGATTTGTCTCTTGGAAGCAAAAGTTTAAACTTTGTCTTTTCTCATTTATAATAACTCCAATATGTACTCTGTTGGTAAATTTGGGGATATGGTATCAGCTCAAGTTATAAAATCAGGCTGCAACTACTTTATGCAGGCTGTACCTGTACTACAGATGTTGTGATTGCTGAAGGGTGTGTGCTTCAAAAACCTATCTACCCATTTACACTGATCATAGATTTTGTTTTATTTTGTGTTTTAATGTCTTATTTACTTCCAGTATAGTGAGATTGAAGTTATAGGTGACATTGTGTTGAATCAAATTTTAAAAGTTAGGTTCAATCAGTTTGAATAATTCTCTACAACTGTTTGAACATGTTTATGCATTTTAATAGCTAGTTTAGGTATTTTATCCTGCATCGCTAAAAAATGCAGGGCAGAAAAGAATCCTTTATTTATTTTTGATCTGAATGCAACAACTTGTAGAATGCTGCTGGTAAGTTTGCATTTTCTTTTGGGCTTATGAATCCATGAGAACAGGAGTTAAATGTTGCAGCTTAATGTGAAAAATCTTTGCCTTTTCTTTTGATGTGATCAAGTCAAACAAAACCCAAAGAGTTCCTGTGAAGCCAGAAAGATGTGCTGAGTTCCTGAAGGACAAGTTCCTTAGTGGATATTAAGGGCATTATAGTTTATTATGATAAAGAAATAAAGGTTAATTGATGGCATGTATTCCTGCAATTCCAGTATATTGTAAAAAGGAGAAATTGTGGAATTACAGTGGAGAGCCTTCTATGCAAATAATGGAGAATAAATAAGAGGAATCTGCAATGTATCTTTAGTTTATCATCTGTTCAGATTGCAGGGGCAGTGGTTCTTATAAACTGCCAGTGCAGAGTGTGGAAATCATCTTTGCACAACTAGGTATCATTGTGACTCTGATATAGTTTCTTTGCACCATGCAAAGATCAAGCATTAGTAAGAGTTATCCTCTCTTTCTCTGTGTATGGAAATAGAATAATTCATAACAGTTGCATACTATTAATAATAATGATGTCCAATGAACAGAATTATGAGTAAGCATTTGTGGTATTGATGTAATCTGAAAACTTGGGCCTAAATCCAGGCAACAATACCTGGTGTTTTTAGGCAAGTCTTATTTTCAAACAAGAATGTTTTGTCCTACAAGGTTATTGGAAGTAAAGGGAAACTTTATGGATGCTCACGTTATAAGTTCAAAGAAAATCAGTTTAGCCCTGGTTCTTCAGTTAAGTTAAAGGTCTTCGGATCACAACTTCAGGAAATGCTATCTGGCTCCCTCTTTCAGGTTTTGCCTTACGTGTGTAGTTTTGCATTAATTGTTCTGTACTGATCCAAAATTAGAAAGCCTGTTTAAAACAGCACTAGATTCAACATTTAGTGCTGCCATAGTCCAACAATGTTTAAATGTGGAAAAGAAATAGGAAACTGTCAAAGAAGAAAAAGAATATGGTATTGTGGTTTATTAAAAAAATCAATTTTTATTCATACATACTAGGGACATACTGTTAGCTTATTGCTAAGTTAGTTTGTGAACTTGAACATTATGAACATTATGCATGAATTTTATTCAGGCATCGTAGTAATGCTTTCACTCAGGTAACTAACCCATATCAGTGAGAGTGTTTGGTTGATTACTAGCCCTTGGAGCAAATTCTAGTAGAATTAATAAAATTAAAAAGTATGATTCTAGACAAGGGTCTCTACAGTGGATTCTCTTGCCATGTCGAGATGTATTTACTAGAAGGTAAGTTTCCCTGGGCTTAATGGGACTTAATTCTAGTTAAATATACACAAAGATAAGTCTTTAATTATATCCAAGAATTTGGAGAATTTGTTATATATGGATATATTTATTTAAGAGCATGTTTCCTTTTGGATAATATTTTGCTATATAAATGAATGAGTAATGAATCCTTGCATCAATTACATATCACTCAAGAAGCTTTCATAATCCCTGTTCTAAACTGTGAATGTTTAACAATGAGACCATGTTAAAGGTGTGTAGCCAGATTTCCAAATGTGCTTAAAAAAGAACTAGTTTGACGTGAGGAGCATGAAATGTTTTGTATCACTAATTTAGATGTGTTCTAGAGTTTCATAAAATTGAAGGAGAAATGTATCTTTAGTCCTCTCCATTTTCATCCCTGCTATTTTTCCTCTTAAAATGCTATAGTCGTTCAAAGGTAGGAGCCTGAAAAGCTTCAATGGGGCTCTGCTTGCATTCTGTTTGACCCCTTGGTTGCTTGCCTTAATGATATTAGCTTAATTTATTGCTACATGAATGCAATTCTACCTCCTAAATGCTGGCGAGATAAAACCATAAATCTAATGTGGGTTAACTGTTCCCTACCTAGTTTTAGCATGAAGGTATTTAGTGACTAATACATCACCTTATTTATTGAAGTAAATGCTTGGCTCTTGTGAAGTATGCCCAATATATGGGATGTTTGTGTTCAGTGCTAATTAATACAACCTCAAGTGCAGAATTCCCAGTACATCTTCATTTGCAGTTGATTCCCATAATCATTTAATTTTTTGTTTTATGTAAAGTGAATTCTCTTCTTGATTTGGCTAGGCCTAAGAGTTAGAGTTCTTTTACCATTCAGTACTTTATGTATGTTAACTCATTGCTTTCCGTTTTTTCCCTTATCTTGCCTTCAGCTCAGGTACCTGACAATGATGAGCAGTTTGTACCAGACTACCAGACTGAGAGTTGTAAGTATAGCATTACTCACCCTTTTTTTAAAAAGCCTTTTCTTTTTTTCTTTTTTAAAGAATATATTTTCAGTATGTCCTTTCTTTTACCCAGTAGTCAGGTAGAGGTGGTGATGTCAGCCCATGACATCAGTGTTAAAATATACGAAGAGCATGCAGCAAGAACAGATGGACTAACTGAAAAGCCAGTCTGCCTGTCTGTCTGTCTGTCTCTCTCTTCTCCTTTCCTGCATTTATTTAGGTCTATGGTTATTCTGGTGGTAAAGGTAGGTTTCCCAGGACTGGGAAATAGGTGAATGCTTCTGGTAAAATCAGGAGCATAATATGAGAGCCTGATTTTTTCTCTGCTGCCTCCTATCAGCACTGGAAAATATAATAATAATAATAATAATAATAATAATAATAATAATAATAATAATAATAATAGTGTTTAGCTAGAGGTGGTATTCTAGCTAGACGTTCTAGTGGTATGTAATCAGAGGACCTTCAAAAATAGCTACCCAGGGCTGTTTTTAAGATCACATGGAAAATAATCATAATAACAGTATTCAATTAATTTTTATTTCTATTCAGCTTAAATGGCATGGGATTTTAGTTTTGGTCTCCGCGCCAGTGGTTTGGAATATGATTACATTACATTCTGAGAACGTGTGTAGTCTCTGACCCTGATTTACAGCCAGTTTTGTTTTTTGAATCTTAGAATCAGCTGCCACAATCAATGTTTCTTTGCTTTAACTAGCAAAAAAAAAAAAAAGAAAAGAAAGGAAAAAAAGTAGGATGTATACAAGACAATTTGGGGGCAAAGCAAAATTGGGGAATGTAGGAGAGACAAACCCGTTTGTTACCCAAGAATTGGATTTTCAGAATTATGGTTGCCTGGTGTTAGCAGTAAGGCATAGTGACAGGGTGGAAAGTAATAGTTGGGTTGTCACACACAATTTCACTTCCGCTATTGTGCTGCAAACACAAATACTAAAGTTAGTGCTGTGCCAACAATTTTTTCTGCATTTTTATAACTGTTTTCATTCATTTTGATGGAGAGGAAGTAGCTTTTGATTCTCTCCCACCAAAAAAAGAAAAAGAAGTTTGGGGATAAATTCTCAGGTGGACTGTGGGGTTCGTGCACTTACCTTACAAGGTGGCCAAAGATTTGTGTGAATACCTGTCTTCATTGCACATTCAGCTCTTCAGCAGTCTGTAGCCTCTTTAGCTTCCTACGTTTCAATTAAATCTTAAAGGCAAAACATAAAGTGGAACTCCTCTCATGGGGCTTTTTTAGAGCAGGAAATGGAGGAGCCAAGAAAGTTGTCACTTCTCAGTGGTAAAGTAAACTCAGAAACACTACCAAAAGTAATTTTAAAACACACTAAACCAGAAATAGAAAGTGGAAAATGGATTTATGGACAGTATTAACAAAAAACAGAATAGAATCTGGCTGTAAAAAGCACTACTTAAAATGTGCTTGAATTCATGGCAAGATATATCTGCAGTTTATTTCAAAGAATACCTTAATGGAAGGGTTTTTATGGTTGACTAATATCTCTTCATTTGATCCACCTCATTGTTTGCTAATAGCTAATTGTACTGCAAGAGTCTCCAATGATAAACTTAAGGGGGCAAAGCAAAGGACAAAGCTGTTATGTAATAATGTGTGTTCATCATGTGGATAAATTGGATATATGAATTGACTTATCATCCAGGAATTGCTTTTCAGGACATTTATGCATTTATTCAGCGATTTGTAATTAAATTTTTCCCATTGCTCCATGTTCTCACCAGCCTCCAAACAGGGAAAAACGTATGTCAAGTTAATAGATCCTGTTTGGCGCACCATGGCTGTTCCTGTATTCTTAAAATTATGGGCAGTTGCCTGTTCAATGTCTTCCCAGACAAGCTTGCTTGTTCTTGCTTTTCCATTGTTCTCAGAGCTCATGGTTACCAGACTTGTTTCTTGGACTTTTGATCCATTTGTACTGTTGACATCCAAGTGAGCTTGGCCTAAGCAGCCAAAACACTGGAAACATTGTGTTGTTTAATGCACTTGAACTGCTCACTATACCTTTGAGAAGTGTGTCTAGTTGCTAAGGAAAGGAAGAATCAGCATGGTCGAGAACATAATCTGATGGAAATCTGGTAAGATCATTTTCTTCAGTCAAATCTTAAGTGGCAGTACTAATAATGTTATCTGGTTTTAAAATTAATATTTTTATTTTAAATCGTTATCTGCCATGGGAAGAAAGGCAGGGTATAGTCCATCACCATCACAATGAATATATCATACACTATTCTTTGCTTCTATTCAGAAAGCTGTCCCCATAATTTTAAATGGTCCTTTCGGGTTATTATAATGTGGTATTTTCCCCAGGTCTTCTGTACATTCTTCACACAGTAACTTTAGTTCCTTTCCTTTAATATTCTTCATTGGTTAAGTATTGAAAAAGATTCCACAGCCATGGCATAGGATGTTCTCTTGCAATTGATGTGAAAGCTCCAACTGATTAATGTGGTTTCCTTCTCAAAATCAAGTTCCTTGGCAAACGTTTCCTATTTGAACAGGCTGTAGGATTAATTTTTTTCAGTTCCTTACATAAGCTGTTGATTGAAAAAATTTCACCCTTTGAAATGAAGTTAATTAACCTTCTAATTTTAATATTGGTGTTGTAAAAAAGATATGAAATAGGTAAAGGTGAAATAAAGTTGTTAGGAAGAGATGTGTATAATAGCATTGACTATAAAGCATGGTTAAACTTGATTTATTATACTTAAAAGGGGTTTATGCAAAGTTTTATCAGAGACTATATTTGCAAATGAAATGCTTTCATTATCACTTCATGGATTAAGTTAGATTTTATAAATCTGGATTTATAGCAGATGCACACATGGAGTGCTGATGTGGACTTCATATATTTTTATGTTTTGATCATAGGCAAAGATATTTGAAATCTGGGAAGATTGACTTCAATAAAGCAGATGTCTCTGCTAAGTGCAAAACCAGTTTGGGATAATCAGATTTATCCTAGTGAGGAGTGCAAGGCTCTGCCAATATTTTGTTTTACCAGTGGTACAAAATACGTCGATGATTCTTATAGAAGGGCCACATACTGTTTATGTAAAATCCTGTCAAAGATTATCAGGTTTTCTTGAGTGAACCTTTGCCCCTCAGACATTAATGCAGTGATGCAGCTAAAGATTATCTGTCCAGATACTGTCCAGATAAATAGTCTTCTGTGTATGTGCAGATGGATCTGTATTTAATTGCTGGGCTGTCTATGCTGAGACTTAAAAAAAAATTAAAAATCCCATCAACCATTTCTTTAGTGGGTTTGAGATATTTGAATCCAGGTATCTTATTCCCTTCTTAGCAAGTGGACTCAGCAGTTTAACCTTTTGAAATTGCTCCTCAGGCGCACACAGACACACCTTTGGAATTGTGTGCTTGATTTTTTCTGCATATCACTGCAACTCACATCTCTAACCACAATTTACATAATACAATTGAACAAACATCGGTTTTCTTTGTCTTCTTTATTTAAAGGGGCAGGGTACTTGTACTTGTTGGAAAATTAATCCAGCAATAGGTACAAAGTTACACAGATTTAGCTGTGGACTCTAAAATATTAATGGGAATGAAAATTTTAAGTAAGTGTAGGGGCAAATTTAGGATGTTGTGTGTGTGTGGATGTAGTAGTCCCAGGTTAAGAACGTCCGGTTTAAGGATGACCAATAGTTAAGAACGGGGCCTATTGTAGCAAAATTGAAGTTAAATACACAATGATTCGAGTTAAATACATAATGGCTCAAGTTAATTACACAATACTATTTATACAGTATTATACAACAATACTGTTCCGGCTTCCATACAAATTCGATTTAAGGACAGACTTTGGGGACGGAAATCATTCTTAAACTGGGGACCACCCGTATATAAATGACAAACTGGTAAGTTTACATTTTGTAGTTAAAGGTATTGGTTTAAAAAAGAATTATGACTTCTACCTTAGGAAAAGCAAAGAATGCATATTTCTCTGGAGGAGAAACAGAAGATGTAGATGGGGTAAGATGGGGAAGAAGACACATTATGGACTACAGAACTTTCTTTTCCTGGATTACCAAACAGTTCTGATTCTGTTTTGATGGCCAGTTTCAACACTGATAGGTGAAAGAGAAAAACAGCCAAGCTGTAATTTGAATTAATTACAGACTTTCATAGATTGAAGTTACATGATCTTCCTTAAATCCCAAGAAGAGAGAATGCCTAGTTAGTTATTTTATGTATAATTGTACAGTAGTTATTCTTAAGTGAGGTAATTTGCCTCATTTGAAAAGATGCCTCTGTAGCAGGATAGTAAAGAAAAAAATTGCCTTGTTCTCATACCTTGCATTAAGATGTGCAAGAGGATTTTGTCATGAAATGTTCTGACCCTTGAAGTGGCCACTCTTAAGTGTTCTGGAAGTGATGTGAGGATTCCAGTAAGATCTTATACATTTCATTGCAAAGGAAGTATCTAAGTTTGCTCCTATGTTCTGATTTGTAATAAACACCATCAGAAGCATTGATTATATGCTAATAGCTCCTCTTGACAAGAATCTTGACGCTAAATTGTGAGAACTGCCTTTGTTATACAGTATTGCTGGGTAATATGAAAGATTTGTTTGTGGTCTGTGATGGCTGTTTTTCATATGCAGATCAATGTTACAGTGATTGTACAATCTCTTTATACTTGGCAATTAAAGAACTGAGAATGTAAACAACCAAAGAAAAAGTGGATCAGGAAGAAAATAAAACTCCAGTCCACATTAAAAGCACAATATTTTTCTTCTGATCCTGATTCAGTTTTTGATGATCTTTCTCCTCTTCTTCTTGTTCTTCCTCCTCATTATTATTAATTCAGTTTGTTTTCATCCTTTCTTCCCAGGGGGTACTGAAGGCAACTGACAACAAAAAACATAAACAATTAACATCCAATAAAAAACAATTCAAACTAGAAAGGCCTGACAAA